GTAAATGAAGAATGAAATTTTATGTCAATATTCTATACATTTGTGATATATAAGAAAAATTCGTAAAAAAATAAAATGATCACATTTTATTTAAGACAAAACATATTATCTGGGCACAAATTACCTTGGTCTTCCATTTTAGAACATTAGAAGTCATATACATATATTAGATGCTATTAGGAATGATTTACAATGAATGAACTTGAATGATTATGTAATGTGCACACAATATAAAACGTATGATAATATTACATATTTCTTTAAAAAAATTGTGCTCAATTTATGGTAATTAAAAATATTTAAACTTGTCACTGAATACATTACTATTGTATTATAAGTTAAAATATAAGACCAAATATTGTGTTACACAAAATATATTACGAGTAAAACATCAAGGTAAAAATACCCGACTGTAGTTATGTTGCTGTCAGTTATAACAAATAATAAATTTTGTTTGTACCCTTGTTTTATATTGTAAAAAGTACAACCTAAATATTATAAAGAGAATTCAATCTTAAAAAGTTTAGAATTTCAAATAATTTTAATATATAGGCAATTAAAACAAATTTCACTTAACAAAATTATTGAATTTTTTGCTTTGATGTAAGTTTCTTATATCACCATGAAATAATACGATATATTTAAATTAATAATATATTTTAAAATATTGTCCATATACGTAATATTTATTATAGTATATGAATCTAATTTACTGTGACCACCATAGAATTATTCATTGACATCAAAAAGAACTCTAAATACAGTAACACACTCTGATTAAAAAATTTACCTATCTGATACGAATCATTACTAAAGTCAATCCATGCCGCAAAAGGAATAGTACAAAAGCCACGCACGCCTTGTTTTGCTTTTATGGCTTTAATTTTTGAGTTGGAACGCTGCGCAACGGTCGCATATATAGTTTAACTAATGACCGTAAGGAGACGCAACAGTCGCGTGAAATGCAAGAGCCAGCAAAACACTGTGCGTCAAAAACCTGTGTAGCGCAGGTCCGTAACGCTGTTTGCGTTGAACGGACAAAATTATAGCTGCGGTGAATGTGTGAGAGATGTACATCGTTCAATGTCGTGTGTGTTAAGTGTGTAACATGATTGTTACGAAACTTTTCGAAAATCAGTGTCGTTACTGATTTGAATATCAACAAATACGTGCATCAACTTGTTCGGACAATCAAAATTGAGTTCATTGTCGAAAGATTGATGTACGTGGTGCGTTGAAGGACATCGTCGTCGAACTCAGAAACGCATTCAAGGAGCACATCACACACGACAAATGTCGAATCGCAATGAACTGCGCAACGACATAGGTGTGGCGCGCAAAAGAGAGAGCATACATTCACGTATTCGTAGTACATACGTACTCTCTCGGAATGAAGGCAGCGAAGAATTGGATTAACTTTCCCCAGTTACGTTTACGTTTGAAAAATCGATCGTTCGTTCGTTTTCATGTAGTGTTAAATGTAATCTGACACTGCTAGATTAATTGTGTGTACACTGTAACAACCGAGTTACTGCTTTCTTAAGATCGAGATAAATTTTGTGCCAGTCTCTCGAAGTAAATATCTCTTTGGTGTTGAATACACCGTGTGGGTGCGTGTGCGTGAGCGTACTCGTGCCCGTGCCTGCGCCTATGCGTCTCCGTTCGCCGAGTTGTGGTGATCTTCGCAGAGGTGGCGGCGGCGGAGGAGACAGTGAAGGTGGTGGTGGCGGCAGCAGCAGCAGCGGTGGCGGCGGTGAAGGAGACAGTGGAGGTGGTGGAGGTGGCGGTGGTGGCGGCGGCGGTGGCCGCGACAACGTTTGGAAGGAGAGATTTCGTACATCGTGACTGAGTGAGTGAGTTGGTGCGTGTGCGTGCTACCGCGCGTATACGCTCTCTCATTCTCGGGATCGTGCGCGCGTGTGTTGTGTATGTGTGTATGTACATCCTCGTGCGCGCGCGCATTAACAGAATTCACGATCAGCACGCAGGGACTCTCAACAAATGTTTAAATGGACGCATCGTCCATTATCACCCAAGTGTCGCGGGATGACGAGCTAGGCCAGTTTAATAATGGGAAAGGTAGGTGTCTGCTGTGAATACGGCTTGCCGCCTTACATTTTTTTTTACGTTTTTCTTCCAGATGCTGGATGGAATCTGCACCTGTTACGGGACTGCACCGCACTCCTCCTCACCTTACCTCACCTAACTTCACCTCTCACCCCCCTCCCTCTCTGCTATTCGCCGTTGCTTCGTTTCCGACGTCTCTTTTCCTCTCGCCCTCGTTTTTGCCTGGCCTCGCCTCGTTTTGCCTCGCCTCTCCTCGTCAAATCGTGTCTACCCCTCTCCCCTCTTTTCTTTCACCTAAGTTTCGCGTGTAACTTATTTCATCGTGTCGGTACCATACCTTGCCGCCGTTTTAATTCACTTATGATATTCAGTCGAACGATCCAAACAATGCAATTAAACAGAGGCAGATGTTTCTTTCCCGCTTTTTAGAACTGTCAAAAAATATGTTTACATAAATATTTTACTACTTACAATGGTAATTTTGAGTAATTCTTTTAATTGTACATTAAACAAAAATATAACGTTTCATGTGCAAACTTCTTGTTTAATTGGCATCAATTGTAAACAAATTTTATTCTGTTCTATTTCTCATGTGTACAAACATTCTTACTTTTATATAAATTTGAATGATTATGATGATTTTTATTTACATAATGCTTTTCTTAATATATGCATATTCATAGAATGACATTTATTTTTTCCAAATGTAGCCCAGTTACCACAAGAGAATGAAGTGGCCAGCAATGGTCCAGCCAGTGGCAAAAAGCCAAGAGGGCGTGGACTTCTACGATCTCTACTTTGTTGCCTCGGTAGAGGACGTGGAAATAGTTCAAAAAGTTCAAAAACAAGTTCTTTACAAGGCGATGGACATGGTTCTCCATCACTAACAACTGGATCCCCAGGGTTCCTTCTCCCACCTGTCAGACATCAGGATATGCACAAGAAGTGCATGGTGATTGATTTGGATGAGACACTAGTGCATAGTTCTTTCAAACCAATCAACAATGCTGATTTTGTTGTTCCTGTAGAGATTGATGGAACAGTGCATCAAGTGTATGTTTTAAAGAGGCCTTATGTGGATGAATTCTTACAGAGGATGGGTGAACTATACGAATGTGTATTGTTCACAGCAAGTTTGGCTAAGGTATGCAAGATAAATAATTCTTATTACCAACAATTTTGCATTCATGTGAAGAACTTTGTTTACATATCCAACATTTCTATTATTCACAGTATGCTGATCCAGTAGCAGATCTGCTTGACAGATGGGGAGTGTTCAGAGCAAGACTGTTTAGAGAATCTTGTGTTTATCACAGAGGAAATTATGTTAAAGATTTAAATAAACTAGGACGGGATTTGCAACAAATTATTATTGTTGATAACAGTCCTGCCAGTTATATTTTCCATCCAGATAATGCAGTAAGTTCAGGGACAAAGAAATATATAGAAGATAGAAGATAAATAGAGGTATTAATTATAGAACAAATTAATTTCTAGGTACCAGTGGCATCATGGTTTGATGATATGACAGATTCAGAACTATTAGACTTAATTCCATTTTTTGAGAAACTCAGTAATGTGGAGAATATTTATACAGTCTTGTGCAATAGTAATCACCCTTATAATCAAGTACCTCCAGCTGTACAGAACAGTCCAAGCCCAGGGTCAGGTTCACTTGGTGCTTCCTAGCCCTACCTAAATTCTGGCCAAAGAGCCAGTATTGTCATCGCTCAATGCACTCTGAGGAGAATTTTGACTGGAATATTCCACATTGCTCGTTTGTTATATGGCAGTGGACAACCAGGTATGACCCACTCAATGCTGGGTTTATAATATAAACATACCTGCTGAAGAATTATCCAAAAAGGAGGTGAAAATCCTGTGTCCTCCTATGCACCATTTGTTTTGTTACAATATGAATCACAGCTACTTTATTGTTGGCTTGAGTTCTTTTTCCTGATAATTAATAATGTAGTATGCTGTTTACAGTATGCCAGTTACAATGAACTGATTGTATTGATATAATTATTAACATACAGGTATTTGAAAAAATTCAAAAATAGCTCAATTGGTAATAACGAATAACTCTTCCAATCACATTGAAATGGAATATACTTTAAATATAATTTATTGGTTACATAACGAATCAATGTGCGTGTTTCCGTGTTTGGTATACTTGAGAAAAGGAGCAAATGGCACTGGTAACAGTGAGTGTGAAAAGTGAACATACATTCTATATTGGGTAAGTGCATATATTTGGGCTTGCATATGATCTAAATTCGTGCAGAGTACCTTAAGAATTATTTGTGCGAGAAAATAAATCATGTGTAAGAAATCAAAGTATAGTGCTAAGTAATATCGAGAGAAAAAATACCAGATAACTTAGAGTCTTTTGATGGGCCATTCTATTTTTTCCCTCTGCATATGCCAATTATTTACCGTAGTTTTGCATTGCTTTTACTGATGTTATGTGTGAAACTTCAATTGAAATTTTTTTACCGTTTATTAGGATTTGCTAGAATTCATTGAAGAACTGTGTTTGATTTTATCGAATCGAACGATTTTTTATGAAGAAATAAAAAATATTGAAATCTAACAATTTAGGATAACGATGCAACCATAAGAAAGATTATTATTTTTTCAATTTTTTTTAATTATTTTGTACTGAGCTAGTATTTCCAACAAATAGGGCTTGAAATATCGAATCTGATAATGAAGGTGTTAATAACTCGTTTAAGTGAAAAATATAAAAAAGAAATTACTAATGTTGTGTTCCCATCTTTTGATAGTATTTTAACTTTATTCCAAAGAACATTGAAAAAACAATGCAATGGGAATTGTTAAGATAAAAAAGATTTGTACATGTTTGCACATTAGGTCAATGCATATCATTCTCTCCCTCCAGGCAGTTGTGTGGATAATGAAGCATTATGTTAATTAATCATTACGATATCATTAACAAATTAGAATTATTTAGATGTAATTCATCAAGAGTAGATGTATGTTTACATATGTAAATACGTTTACTAACAGGTAGTCGTCAACTTTGTACGCTTAATTCGTGCATAAGAAATGTACAGATTGCATTATACTTTCATATCCAATCAAAGTATCGTTACTCATGCTTTTCTTTTTTTAATTTTATTAGCATTGTTACTAATATATTTATCATTATTAATGATACAGTAAATCATATTTTATTGCACTGTCGTCATTATTGAGACTCAGTTTTAAATGCCGTGCTTTACTAAAAATATTACATGTCGTTCGTTATCGAGTCCTTACAAATAAAAATTAAAAAAAAAAACAAAAAAAAATTCACAAAAACGAACAAACAGACAAATGGGTACAGTTTCATAATATCTACAAAGGAATTTTCTTTTTGTATTCGTCACTCTCGCCTATTAACATTTATCCCATTATAATATCGATATATTTTCATCATATGTTTTACATGATATAACGTTAAAATCTCTAAATTACATTATAACTTTTCCTCTGGAAATTCGGTATTTGTTTTCAATCTTGAAACAAGGCAGATAAGATATTGATAAGCGAGAACATAGTTATTAAATATTTCACTCCATTTGTTTTTATTA